GTGTCATTATTTGCTATGATGCTGTGAAAAAGCATAGGACTGCCTGCTGCACTTATTTCTAGAACTTGTTTTGTTGGAAAGCTAATCTTAATATCCGGGCATCAGTTGTGACTTGGGTTTTTTTAGGTACTATGAGTTATGAAACTGAATGGCTAGTCGAGGAGGCTGCAAAATTTTTTGTTCGATATAATCAGTTTCAACTAACTTTGCTGAGAGTTTGCACCAACTGATTATCAAAATTTAGTTCGTTTTGTGTTGTAACTTTTGTGTTTGTATTGCTTTTTTGGATGGATAACTATAGTTACAGAGGTTTAGTTCAAAACGTTTAATTTTGACAGTTTTGTAAACTGAAGTCTGGGAGTTCTCTTTTTCTATAAGTTTATTGTACGCTTTTTTACTTCGATGTAATCATTTCAGAAAGCCTTTTTTTGTGTGTGCATATATGTGTGATTGTTTCTTGGTTTTTCCTCTACGTAAAGTCCTTGAAAACATTAAAATTTTACATTCTAAAAAAAAATTTAACTTTTGTTTTTTTTTTCGTTTAGGGGTAGTGTTGAATAATATGCTTTTCACTCATACTTTCTGAAGACAGTGCCGGTTTTTAATAGAGGGGTGTAGTGATCTTCTTCTTTGCCGTTTTAAATTATATGAGATTCTTAAATTCACACCATGTAAAAATTTTGAATTTGAAATTTCAATTTGCCTATACATTTATCTGTTGTTGGTTGGTTGAATAGGTACCTGTTAAATGTAGAAGATGGATAAAGGTCGGTAAGAGTTCTCGAAATCCTAGTAGATCTGTTAATTCTTTCGCGGTTAATAGAGAAAAGTGATAGGATGATACATTGTTTAAGCTATCTAAGTGTGTTCGTTTAGCTGTATAGTGGAAGTAGTTGTGAATGAAAGTCCTGAAATAGGGAAGGTGCTAAAACGGAAACGCAAGACAACACTGAGCTGAGCAGAACTCTGTATAACTAAATTTATTATTACATTGTAATAGTCGAGTGCTTTTTTGAAAATGTGTGAGTGGTAAAGATACAATTTGGCATTATGCCTGAAAATAATTTTTTTTGGTGGGGGGTTTGTATGATATATTCCAAAATGTTGCTTGCCACGGAATTTCATAAACAAGAAATCATCAGGTTTTAAAAAAAGTTGTCTTCAGAGCTCGTGTGTTAAAATATAATAATTTAGAATTTTAGGAATGCCTATTAAAATATAGATTTCTAAGATGTCTCAAGGTCGGGAATATTATTTTGTGATTGTTGGGCATAACGATCAGCCCCTGTTCGAGATAGAGTTCCCGGTCGTTGATCCAAAAAAGAAGCGTGAACCTGATACCCGACATTTGAATCAGTTTATTGCTCATGCTTCTTTGGATATCGTTGACGAACAAATTATCACTAGTTCACAAATGTATTTTAAAGTCAGTTATTTCTCAAGATCAAGTGTGGTGTTTTATGCGCAGATTTAACTTCTTTTAGCGAAACTGCATTTTTTTGGCTTCAAATCGGGTTACGAAAAATAGGAGGAAATTTTTATGTAGAAGAGATGGTAAGAAAATAGAAAGTTATTTCCTTTCTCGAAGTGGATTAAAGTGATAATTTTCAGTTGATTGATAAATTCAATGAGTGGTTCGTCTCAGCCTTTGTTACTGCAAGTCGCATTCGGTTTGTTATGTTACATACGCAGAAAAATGACGAGGGAATTCGACAATTTTTCCAGGTATTTGTCAGTATTTCGGTTTGAAGCAAAGCTTAGCTGTTGCTACTTGGTTACCAGTCAATTTTGACCGCTAGAGGACATTTTTTTGTTTTTCCTTCAATTTTTGTTGCATGTTGAAGTAAAGAACAGAAGCATACTTTTGCGACTTCATTTCGGACATTACAAAGCTGTTTTTTTTATTTTTTTTTGTAAGACTTATCTAGTTCTGATTAAGAGTGTTCAGAATAGTTACTTTGGTTATGTGTTTACAATTATACTTTATTTTTTGCAGGAGATGTATGAAATGTATATTAAGCATTCAATGAATCCTTTCTACAGCATTGATTCGCCAATAGAATCTACAAATTTCAATGAAAAAGCGGTTTTTTACGGCAAAAAGTATTTGTGTTCTTGATAGTTTTTGAAATGTTGGTCATGGTGAAGCAGCTCAGGAAATGAAACTTGCCTAGAAGGGAACAGTGATTTTTATGCATGGTTTATGTTTCTCAAGAGTTCGTTTGTCGTTCTTTAGTGGAAAGTCGTGGGTTTTCTAAAAATCCTGAGTGAAATCGCCGTTGTTTTATGCTCTTTTTTTGTTTTTGCTTTAGAATGAAATGTTAAGCGTTACTGTTGAGGTCAGTTAAAATTTTTTATTCTCTTTTGCCATCACTTGATGTTCTCCATGTTGGCTGTGGTTTTTGTGTCAGAAAGCTGTGAATAATTGTTTTGACGCAGAAGTTAAGTGCTGTAATTCTTTTGAGAGTTTTTTTTGTTTTCGATTAGTAGAGTGGTTTTTTTCTTATCAAGTAGTTGCAGTAATTATTGTTTTGTTTGTGCTTGTTTATTTTGCTGTTGGGATATTGTAAATATTGATTATCATAGGTAGCAGAAATTTAATTGGTAGCTGCTTTTTCCTTTCCTTTTTGTTAAGAGTCGTAAGAGAGCCTAGTCATCATTGAAAGGTGTTTGGACGTATTTTTTGCGACTGTCGGTTTAATCTATCTGCACCTATCTTTCTTTAAAATTTCAAGGATGCTCCTTTTTTGAAGCTCATAATTGTTGTTTCCTATATAAATTGTTTGGCATAATGTCTTCGTCTCTTTGTTGTTCTTTACCGCATTAATTTCTAAGTTATTGATAAAATTAGTTAGAGGTTCTAATGCGCTGTTCCTGCCTTCCCATTAACGGAACAGATTATGTAGTGCAGCACTTCTATCCGCATAGCGGAACAGGATGGTCTTTTTGTCGAAGAAAGCATGCTGTACGAGTGGGAGTTGTTGGCTTTGAGCTTCAAAAAAGTTTTTTTCAACTGATGTTTTTTTTTAAGTTTGAGGAATTCGCGAAGCAACTTGAAGAGCTTTGCTAGGTGCATAAGTTTTTTCCACATTTAGGTGGTTAAAGTAGAGCACAGAGGAATATCTTCGGTTGAAGGCGAGTACTTTTTTTTTGTGATTTTCTGCAGAACTGAAGACAGTGGAACATTGTGAGGACAGTAAATTTCTATTTAACATGAAGGTATTCAGCATCATCACGGTCTTTCTATCGTGGCGCAGATAAATTTATCTTTTTGCACAAAATGCGGAATGTCGGAGTACAAAACCAACTGATACTGTTCTGGAAAAGGGCGGTTCAAGAACTAAGTAACGACAGATTTTCAATTTTACAGTAATCTTAAGAATTTGGCTGCCAGAGTTGGAGCTTAAGAAAATGTGCTATGTCGTTTACTTGTCTACCATTTTCTATGGGATATTGGGTTTAATGAGTAGCATGTTCCTAATCCATACGCTCGTCAACCGAGTTTTTGACTGCATTTCAGTTTGCTTAGTCAAAATGACTTTTTAAGTCTTACATGGTCTATTGTACTGTTTACTATTGATTGAGATTTTTTTTACAGCAGTTCTCTTTACCAGGTCATTCCATTTTAAGGAAACTGTGCTGGAGGCTCATGCGTGTTCAAAATTCATTCACATTTTGTTCCTTCTTCATTCGAACGCTGCTTCGTAAGGTTCATAAGTTTCGATTTCCAACTTGTAAAGTCTTTGTACAATAATTAACAAATTTTCGTTTCGTATCTATCTACCTACGAATGACAATATGCTACGCTGCCTTCTTCTTGACCAAGTTGTTCTTCAGCGCTAGGAATGATTAATGCTTTTTTGTTACCAAACAGCACCGAGTGCGAAAAATATTAAAGTTGAGCTATCCGTTTTATTTTTTAATGTGCGCTTTTTCGCTGCTTTGATCTCTTATTTGCATCTGTCTACTCTAAATGAAGTTTAAAATTAAAAAACTTGAGCACTGAAAAAAATAGGGTTTTTATCCCAAAGATTTTTATAGGAATATGTTTCTCTTTATTTATTAACGAGAAACAACACATTTGAAAACATGACTCTTATAACATGCCAAATACGGCAATAATAAAGATAAGGTTGCTGTGAGAGATGAAGGATTTTAAAGTCGAAGCTGTTTGAGAACAAAAAAAAAGATAAAAATTTTAACGGAAGAAGCCGAGTAGGGTATTAGAAGATAGAGTAGAACAAGAGCAATCTTACAGATACAGTAACCTTTAGAGTTAAAAAATAAATTTCTTTTTGGAATTATTTTGCAGAATATTTAGCTGCCAAAGGGAAAAGTCGCTTGTTAAATAAAACTTTCCTATTGAAAGGGAGAGGTGAAGAACTACATAATACGCAGTAGAAAGATTTTGTGTAGAAATTAAGGACAATCAATTTGCCATATATAGTTTATTTGTATTTATACTGACCACTGACAAGATTTTTTCACTTAATCTTCATAATTCTTTTAAACTTTGTTCTTTAATAGAGTCTGAGTCCGAATGTAAGTGGTTGAAAAGGGAACCTGGAGAAGTAAATTACCTGCTAAGTTAGACCCTCCTAAATTTGGAAAATTTCCCAAGTTACTGTTTGATATGCATATCTTTGCAGACTTGTAATTCAGGATAACTCTCGATAAGATTTTAAGAATTTTTGACTTTTTTGATTTGCTAGCTTTGCTATTTTTAAATACCATTGAACAATTCAGACTTGTAAAGTAGTCTTGTAGATACAATAAAAGCATGATTTCAAATAAATTCAATAAAGATATTTTCAAATTTAAAGAAAAACATTTTTCACAGAATTTTTCGTTGTATAAATTATCAAAAATTACGGGTAATGTTGTGTCGAAGTCGAGAATTACGAGTGCTGAAGAATATGCAACTAAAATAAACCTCTAACTTTTACGATAACCCCACTTAATTTGTAGCAGCGGAAAACCGTCCTCAGCCGTTTCTGAAAGCTAAGAGCGGCTATCAAAATTTGATGTGTTTTAATTTGAGGACTTTTTTAGATAGCTATGTTTCGCAAAAATTTTCTAGCAATTTATTGTCTGGCAGATTTTAAGAAATAGCGTTTACCAGAGTATTTCCTAGTTCATGCATGTCGTGGTCAATAGAGTGCGTTTAACTTACAAGAGAAGGGTCACCAACGGTGGCTGATGTGACACAAATCTTGTAGATCAGCAAGTTTGCTGGCGAAGAATTCGTGGGACATGGGAATTTTTAATTTAGAATTTGCGAGGTCAGCTAGGGAAGAAACTTCTGAGCCGCCAGAATTGTATCTTTGATTCACTCATCAGTTTTGGTTTATAAGCAAAGATAAGTCTGTCTCAACGTTCATCCTCTGAAATTGTATGCTCTTATTCTTTAAGCTAATCAGGTTCCAAAAAAGGCAAAGTAACCTGTATGTAACACGCAACTGATTGAAGTAGTAAGCTTTTGAACTTCATTGTAATATTAAAAGATGTATTAGGTGTGCAAGTTTGACAAGGAGAAGTAAAGAAGTGGAAAAGCTTGAGTGAAAACTACATTGCAGAATTTTGCAAAATAATAATTTGCTGGTATTATAAAATAAAACATAAGTAAATTTAACAAGTCTGTAAGGATTGAAAATATCAGATTTTAATAACCGCTCTACATGGTTTTTAGAAGCCGCTGACTACAGTTCCGCCTGCTGTAAAACCAGTGAGATCACCGCGAAAGTGCCGAATATTTTTTAGCTGCATATTCTTTCCGGCTCAAAATTTCTCGCTCTAAAAAGGTACTGATAATGGTTTGTGAGTTATCACAGAGCAGCAAATTTTAAGAAAAAAAGTGTTTTTTTTTTTT